AACAGAAATGTGTAATGCTGTTACCAGTGGTTACAAGTCAGCCATTTGAAAAAGTGAAACAGGAGTGTTGTTAATGTTGAAGTTAATGCCTGGTTTCCTATTTTCTGTATGTCTATATTCTTCTCTTTCCCTCCCTTTCCCTGTCTTTTCACTTTTGTTTCTAGATCTCATGTTTATTAGGAAATACGAGGAAAAGTGTACATGCAAAAATTTTGCCAGAAGCCAGTCTCTTGGCAGAAACGATGAATAGATCCGATGGAGTGGGCATGTCTTTTTCGATTTTGTATTCCTCTGGGCCAGAGAAATAGCTCAGTTTTGCTTGTTGAGCACTAAGTGCATGGACATTGGAAGCACCTGTATTCTAAGTGACTTTTTCTGTAGCTGTAGGTACTTCCCATTGCTTGATTTAAAAAAAAAAAAAAATCAAAGTCTCAAATATACAGTTGCGGTCTGTCTTAATTTTATTTTCATCATGTTGCTAACAGTGGCAATTTATAAATATATAAATAATATATACTTAATATATAATATATATTTAATATATATTTATTTTATATATTATATATAAATAATATATATATAAATAAAAAAGCCACCTTTTTGTAGGCTACCATAGCCTTTCTATTATTGCTTATAAATATTTTTCTAAGTCTTTCCTGAGGTGGTGTTTCTGTAGACTGGCAGTTCTACTTTTTGTACTTGTTACTAAATGATGAAGATCATTGCTGTGTTTCTCAATCATCAGGTTAATGTTTTCCTCGTGTTTCTTTGGACCTTTTTTGTTTTTCTGTCATTCATGAGATACTTAACTGCATATATTCTAGAATACAGGCATATACATGGGAATTTTGTGCCCTTCTCTCTTCTGCAACTGCTGTGTGTGGGTTTCTGGTTTGGTTTGGTTTTGGTTTTGGGGAGTGTTTTTGCCTAACGCAGTGAATATTTAATATAAGACCACACCTTCCTGCCTCTAGGAGTCTTCCAGTTTATCATCTGGTTTTCACCATTCTTATGTATAGACTAGGAAAACCAGGCAGTTCAGTGGAATAGGAGTACTCACCAACCTGATTGTTTGGCCAGGTGTCTAGTCATTGTTATATTGCTTCGTACTTCATATCATGTTTTTTTTTTTTGTTTTTTTTTTCCGTTTGGTTTTTCTTCTGCTTGGTTAGAGACACTATCCTACGAAAAGCTAAAACCTGTGTCCTTTCTGGCCTGCGACTGTGACATTCATGCCTGTTGTGACCTATTCATATAGTTTTTCTTAAAAACCTATATGAGCATGCTCTTTCAAAGTATCAGTCTTTTGGCTTATATGACATAATAACTTGGCTTTCTTACAAGTTTGTTTTAAATCCCTCTGAGTGAAGCTTTTATAAATAAAACTATATCCCATTCTTTTCCAGTAATGTAATTTGCTATTTTAATCATATAAATATTTAAAAAATTTATTTCTCAGCTTTATATTCTGGTCCACCAATGTGTCCTTTTCTGAGTAAGTCGCAATTACATGGTAGCTTTTTAACTGTAAAAATGCCTTTTACCAAGTGGGAGCGTAGGTTGCACCTCATTACTGTTTTCTAGAATGTTTCAGGCTGTTTGCACAGATTTATTCTTTTTATCTTTCACATTTCTTATTGCCTCTATTTCCTTTTATATTTTCCTTCTGCTTGGTCCTTGACTCTCCTTTTGATTGTTTTCTCCTCACCTCCTAGCTTCTCTGTTTCCTCTTTGTTTTAGTCCCTCCAAGCTTAATTTTTCTATCAGCCTCTTTTCTTGAACTTTTCATCTTCGGTTAGCTCCTTTGGGGTGTCTCACCATCCTATCGGACAGCCTTATCCAAATTTATATTTATGATCCCAAAGTGACCTCCCTTCTCACCTCCACTGTGTGTGTCACACTACGGTGCCGTTAGACACCAGGAATTAACACCCAAGACATACGTGCTTTCGTCCTTTGTTCTATTGCCAGTCATTGCCCAATTCCCATGGATGAGTTTTCATGAGACACCTCCTTTCTCTCCTTCCTCTTCCATATTTCCTACCACTTTCATATTTTTTAAAAAGATTTTATTTATTTCTCTGAGAGAGAGAGAGCAAGCAAGCAAGCAGGAGCAATGGGAGAGGGGCAGAGGGAGAAGCAGACTCCCCTATGAGCAGGGAGCCCGACACGGTGCTTGATCCCAGGACCCTGAGGTCATGACCTGAGCCGAAGACGGACACTCATCTGACTGAGCCACCCGGGGGCCCCACCACTTTCATATTCTGGGTCGTACCACCTCACACCCAGATTGTTCAGACCCCTTTCCACCTGGCCCCTTTCTGTCCAGTTTATTTTGCATATGTCTGTGAGCTTCATCTAATCTAAAACTTTCTGTCAATACTGACTTTGAGCCGAGAGTCTCGTTCAGTCATTCATCATTTATCTCACAACTGTCAGAGTGCCCCTTACATGCCACACACACTTCTCAGTGCTGGGTGTGGATAAGTGAGCAAAACAGCAGGTGCTAGGGCGCCTGGGTGGCTCAGTCAGTTGAGCGACTGCCTTCGGCTCAGGTCATGATCCTGGAGTCTGGGATCGAGTCCCACATCAGGCTCCCTGCTCGGCAGGGAGTCTGCTTCTCCCTCTGACCCTCCTCCCTCTCATGCTCTCTCTATCTCATTCTCTCTCTCAAATAAATAAATAAAAAAAATAAAAAAAAAAACAGCAGGTGCTAGTCCCTGCTCTCTGGGAGCTTACATTCTGCTCTCATGGCGGGTGGGGTTGAGGAGGGAGAGGGAGGAGACATACATGGAAACGGAACAAGGTAATTCTGGTTGGTGATAAATGCTGTCGTGTGAGAGTGTGGTAGTATGGTGGGAGAACTGATTTAGGTTGGGTGCTCAGGGAGATTTCTCTGGGCAGGTTTTATTTGGGCTGAGACATGAGGACACCTGGGACCAATCAGTTTGGGAAAAATAGGAGAGAAGAAAATAAGTAGGTAAAAAAGATCGTGGAAAACATTTTAATGCATGGGAGGCTTTTCATGCCTTCCCCAAATTGACAAGTCAGTCTTTAAGATAAGCATTGCATTCGAATAAGAACTCAATACTGATCACAGACATCTGGGGCATCATGGGGAGGAGGAAGGGATAGATTGTTTACAAATGGACCTGGGGAAATTAGTTAATGTATATAGTAGGTATGATTCTTTGCTCACTTAGCTGTTTCTTGGAGTCCATTCATGCCTGGGGATAGGGATCATGTAGCAAAATAAAACTGAGATGAGAAATTCCATCATTGGAGTGTTTTTTTTTTTTTAAATTTTAATTTTTAGACTTCTTAATCTGTAATTTCTATTAACTGTTCAGAAGCAGCAAAGACTTTGTTTTGACCAATTTATTTCTGAAATTTTCCAAAAGATCTCTTTACTGGAGTGCTGAGATAAGGAGCCACGTTTCTATATTGATGGCCAGAGTTTAAATCCCAGATCTGTCCTGACGTCTCAGGCTTCCACGTACTGGTCATAAGACTTAAGAGCTGGGTCTGGGCCAAGGCCTCCAGAGTGTGGCTAAATCTGGCAATCACCAGAAAGATAAGAAAGAGAACTGACTGGAAGCAGTTTGACAGTAAGAATAGGATAAAATAGCCTTGGATTTAGTTGTGTTCTTAAAGAAATGTGGGTTTTTTGTTTTGTTTTGTTTTTGGAGATTCCCAGTTTGTATATTGTTAAGTTCTTGATTTGGGCCTCTGAGAATCTAAGGTTTGACTGGACATTTGGGTTTTTTTAGGCACTATAATGAGCCATCATAGTGTCCATGTGAAATTATGTTAGTTGGTGATTCCCATGGCAATACAGGATTAAATTAACATTTAAAAATTTTATACAAGGAATTATTCATTCATTTTTAAAATTTGTGTCCATTATCCACTCTCTCACTGGTTGTATGGTTATGCACATGTTTGAATAAATCAGATGTTGTGTTAATGTAGTGGATTCTGTTATAGGCTTTGTAGGAAAACGTTTATCTTCTATGCCTCTGGGCTGCTTTAACAAAATTTGGCTTGGTATTCGGCTGTTCAGGGTAGGTATCCGGTGATGTGTATCCTTATTAAAGCTGCTTTTCTTTCTGGAATTCTACACAATTTCTCAAGCCATCTTACTGCAGACTGACAAGTCTATGGCATTTAAGGTGTTTGCTTAAATTCTTGACCTCTATACTTCCTCAGGTACTTCTTCAAATTTTTAATAGTCTGCGATTTTGTTTTTTTTTTTTGGAGGAAGGGATCTTCTTGTAACAATTCAGTTGTTCCAGGGGTGGGGAATCTAGTTACCTTGTATGGCATTATGGCAAAGGAGTACCCAATGGACAGATAATGGTAATGTTAGAGCTTTTCACTCAGTAATGTAAAATAAACTATATAGACACATTTTAACTGAATCTGGAGCAAAGTGCTTTATGATGTTTTCTGTATTCCCAGAGGCATATGTTATTTACTGGCTTTACCTTTATTATTATTACTTTTGTGTAGTTTGCATGATTAACTTACCATTGTCAGAAGGACTAAAATGAATATTGATATTCAATATAGGTATATTGAAACAAATATCATGCTTAAAACGACAGCCCTCCAGTAAACATTCAGGACATACTGCAAGTAAAGCACCTTGCTAGGTGCTTTGTAAGATTCAGAAATAAATCAGATGTGTCTCCTGACATCAGGATCTTTGAAGTTGTCTGGGAGATTATAACCTTATGAAAAGGAACTTCCAAAGTGACCTGCAGAGGCTTTGCCTAGGAAGGAAGGGTCACATACACACGCTTCACTAAGGATGTTTTATCACCAGGGCCCCAAAGTTGAAATTTATTCCCTGGTTTAAAAAACTTTTTTAGTAACTCATGTAAGTAATGTTTATACTTGCTTAAGGGCTGTCCCTGATGTTTATGCTATTTTAAATCTTTTATTTGAACTTTTCTTGTATATGTTATTGTAAACTCCTATATTTATTTTCTCTCTAGTTTGCTACAGAATGGTCAGTTTGAAATTGTGACAGGTGGCTGGGTTATGCCTGATGAAGCTGCTCCACATTATTTTGCCTTAATTGACCAACTAATTGAAGGACATCAGTGGCTGGAAAAAAATCTAGGTATGTATTGACGTCTTTTTCCTTCATTTGGACTACTTTGGGCAATTAATTTTGGGGAACATGAGATGAGGCTCTATTTTATTTTTTTAAATAACTGATTTTCCCAGTATTTTTTTTATCCTTCATTAATTTATGATGTTTCCTCCATCATAAGCTAAGTTGCATAAATATAATGTGGTCATTTTTAGTGTCATCTACTTTGTAATCTATTATTTTGTGTACTGTTTTTATTAATTTTTAGAATAATTTTCTTCTAACAGTATCCCATTGGGATTTTAATTTTATATTAGTTAAGACTGTTGGTTAGAAGAGGCAAAAACCTAATTTACTTGCCAAAGAAAAAGAAGAACAAAAGGAAGGTATTAGTTTTGTCATTGAGAATTCAAGAGGTACGGTAGGTTCAGGTAAAGTTGGATTATATTGTTTGGACACTATCTCTTTTGGCTCTGCTTGCTTGCTTGCTTATTTATTTATTTATGAGAGAGATAGAGGGTGGGGAGGGGCAGAGGGAAAGGGAAAGAGAGAATCTGAAGCAGTCTCCATGCCCAGCATGGAGCCCTACTCGGGGCTTGATCTCACAACCCTGAGATCATAACCTCAGCTGAAATCAAGAATCGGATGTTCAGTCGACTGAGCCACCCAGGCTCCACTTGGCTCTGCTTATTTTTGCATGGCCTTAGTCTTCTCCTGGTTCTCTTCACATGGTGAGTAAGAGGGCCATAGGCAACTAGGATTCTCATCTTCCCAGTCTAATCAGTAGAAGTTTTTCTTAATGTCTTACCTAATTGTCTCACTTTGGATTAAGTGCATAACTCTGAGCCAGTTTCTGTGGCCAGAGGTGTAGAGGCTGAAATCATCAAGCCCTAGTCAGTTTATTGGAAATGGTCATGCGGGAGAGGGGTTTGTGGAAGGCATGGTCCGCTCTACTGGAACCATGTGAATAGGTCCTCCATGGGAAAGAGGGATCTTGTTACCACAAGACATGGGGAAGAGGACACTGCCCTGATAAAACCAGGTGTTCAATACAACTGGTAAGAACATGGGACTCATTTAAATCTTTGCAGTACCTAGTATTTGCATCCTGCAACGTGGTATGTAATTCTTTTCAAATATTTCATATCTGAGTACAATTTTGTAGCATTTAGGAAATCCAGGTCCCCAGACACCAGCCAAGGGCAAACCTTCCAAGCAAGACCTTTCTAAAGATAGCACTTTCAGACCCCCTGTGTTATCTCTTTTTTGTGTACAGGCGTGATATCTGCAGCTTATTCTAATAACAACAACAATCACACCAATGATATGGCAAAAGAAAAAGTAAAGCAAATATGTTAATAATTGGTAAATCTGGTGGAGGAGTTTATGGGAGTTCTTCATATTTTTCTTAAACCTTTTCTTTTAAGTTTGAATTATTCCAAAATATAAAGAAAGAATGAATGGGGATGGCAGGGATTTTATCTCTAACACAGAAAAAAATTTTAAATAGGAAAAAAATAGAAATGCCAAGAAGTAAGTCCAATAAAAAACATCTATCCTTACCACACAGATACTGTGGAATTGTTTCACTGTGTTTAAACTGTGTAAAAACAATGTAGTTTATGCTAATCACAGATGCTACTGTGATCATGTATTGAGTTCTTTTCCTTCTGGAAGTCCAGAATCTTAATATGTACTGCTAGGCTGAGGATGCCTCCATGACCAGCCCCCAACAAATACCCTGAACGCTGAGTCTCTTCAGGAGCTTCCTTGTTTGATAGCATTTCACTTTTGTCACAGTTGTTTCAGTTGTCACAACATGGAGGGATTGAACCCATCCTTTGTGACTCCATAGGGAAAGGACTGTTAGAAGCTTGTGCTTGGTTTCCCGTGGACACTGTGCCCCCTGTGCCTTTTCCCTTTGTGGATTTTGCATTGTGTCCTTTCACTGTAATAAGTCATAGCTGTGGGTATGACCATATGCCGAGTCCTGTACATTTTCTTAACAGCTCACTAAATGGGGGTGGCAGACTTAGGGACCCCCTACACAGTGCCACTTTTCTTAAATAATTATGTTCTAAACCAGGAATATTTCTTTTTATAAACTTCAGTTTGGGGATTTTTTTCTTTATGTTTAGCTTTTATTGACATATAAGTTCTATGCAGTGCAACATGCAAATCTTAACTATAGAGTTCTAGTTTTGGCAAATATATATACCCAGTTAAGCCACTTTTTCATCACCCCCGAAAGTTCCCTCATCCTCCTCAACTCTCCTGCAGCCAACTGCTCTCTGATTTCTATCACTGTAGATTATTTTTGCCTGTTTCAGGACTTCATATATATGGACTGACTCCTTTGGATCCATCAGTTTTTGCTCAGCATAAATTTTCTTCTTAAAATTGTGTTGTCTCCAATATCATAAAATTTATCCACCTAAAGTATACAACTCAGTAGTTTTTAGTCTGTTCACAGAGTTGTGCAACCGTTGCCACCCTCTATTAGAACATTTTCAACATCCCCAAAAGAAATCTCTTACCCATTAATAGTCACACTCCTTTCTTGACTCCACCCTTCCCTGCCCCAGGCCCATGCCACCACAAATCTACTTTTTTTTTTTTTTAAGATGTATTCATGTATTTTAGAGACAGGAGAGAGTGTGGGGGGGGGCAGAGGAAGGGCAGAGGGAGAGAGAGAATCCAAGTAAGACTCCCCACTGAGTACAGAGCCTGACATGGGGCTCAATCTCAGGACCCTAAGATCGTGACCTGAGCCTAAATAAGAGTTGGACGCTTAACCGACTAATCACCCAGGAGCCCTCTCACCTGCTTTCTGTGTGGATGGATTTGACTCTTCTGGACATTTTACATACACCGAATCATACAATATGGCCTTTATAACTGGCTTCTTTTACTTGGCACGATGTTTTCAAGTTCATTCATGTTGTAGCATGTATCAGTGCTTCATTCCTTTTTATAGCTGAATAATACTATTTTGTTTGGAAAGACCACAGTTGTTTCTCCTTTTTTCAGTTGCTAGACATTTAGAGTGTTCCCCTTTTTGGCTACTGTGAATAATGCTGCTATACACACTTGTGTAAGGTTTTGTTTGTTTGTTTGTTTTTTGTTTTTTTTTTCCCCAGCAAATATATTTTTTTAATTTAAATTCAATTAGTTAACATATAGTGTATTATTAGTTTCAGGGGTAGAATTTAGTGATTCATCACTTGCATATAACACCCAGTGCTCATTACATCAAGTGCCCTCCTTAATGACCACTGTCCAATTACCCCATCCCCCTACCCCACACTAGCGTAAGTTTTCGTGAGGACATATGTTTTCATTTCTTCTGAGTTTATACCTAGGAATGGAATTGCTGGGTCATATGGTAGCTCTGTGTTTAGCATTTTGAGGAGCTGCCTAATTGTTTTCCATAATGGCTGCACCATTTTACATTCCCCCCCAGCAATGTATGAGATTTCTAATTCCTCTACATGTGCAACATTTGTTATTGTCTTTTTTATTTTAGCCATGCTAGTGTGTATGAAATGGTCCCTCATTGTGGCTTTGACTTGCATTTCCCTAAAGACTAATGATGTTAAACGTTTTTTCATGTGTGTATTGGCTATTTATATATCTTCTTTGGAGAAATGTCTGTTCAAATTATTTGGCTATTTTTACATTTGGGTTCTTTGTCTTTTTATTGTTGACTTGTAAGAGTTCTTTGTATATTCTTGACGCTAGTTTCTTGTCAGACAATGATTTGCCAATACTTTTTTCCATTCTGTGGGTTGTTTTTCAGTTTCATGAAGGTGTCCTCTGATGCACAAAAGCTTTGATTTTGATGAAGTCCATTTTAGTTTTTCTTTTGTCACTTGTGTTTTGATGTCACAGCTAAGAAACCATTGTCTCACCTAAGGTCATAGGATTTACTTTGTGGTTTTTACCTAGGAACTTTATGGTTTTTAGCTCTTACATTTAGATAATGGACACATTTGAGAAATGGAATATCTTTTTGTAGCTTTGGCTGCATTTTGTAAATTCATGTTCTGTTTTGTTTTTTAAGCAATTTAGAACAACAGCATGTTGTTTTGGATACTTTATATTTGGTCATGGAATGCTTTTTAAATTGTTCTGTTTTTTGTTAATTTCTGCCTTTGTGACCTCTGTTATGCAAATATGATCATTATAAACCTTTTGAAGTTTGAGTTATTAAGATTATCTTTTACCCAAAATATCATAAACTTTTTGAAGTTTGAGTTACCAACATTGTCTTTTGCCCAAAATACCTGTTTTTCTAACTGTTCCCTGACTTTTCTTAAGCTTTAATATTAAATGTACTTGGAATAATCCAGTGACTAATTATATTATTCATATTACTTCTGTTCTAATTTTTAAGTCTGTTAGGTTTGTCAAAAATTGAGGGGTGTATTTTATTCTTTTTAATGACCATTTCTTGTCATTTTTCCTAACAATTTTTACTTTATTATGTATTTTGATAATCTTGCTTGATGGCACAAAATCTTTTTCATGATCTTTCCTGGTATTATTGGCAAACATACCCTTTATAAAACTTTGGCGCTTTTTTATGCTGCGCTTTTACCTAAATTTGCCCCTTACCCCTTTTAAAACAGTACTTACCATACCAAGGAAAACCCTAGTGGGATACTGGGGTCCTTTCTAGGTCTCTGCCTAGCTCTCACCTCCTTTCATGTCAGAGTTTTAAAAAATATGGTTTACATTCTTCCTTTTCTGTATCATCACCTCCCAGGGACTCTTATGTCCACTGCAGCTAGGTTGCTGCTCCTGTGGATCATGTGAGTTTGATAGGGAAAACATCCCTAACGTTGCTAAAATCTGACATCACTGTAGAATTTGATGGTGATTTTTACTCTCACTTGTAAGCTAATTCCGCCCTTGTTATTTGGGACATTGCAATCCTTTATTATTTTATAACTTAATTTTGATATAATTTCAAACTTATAAAAAGCTGCATGACAGCTGGGAAGGGCTCTTTCATATGTCCTGTACTTAGATTCATAATGCATGTTTTTCTGAAATATTTGACAGTAAGTTGGAGGCATCTTCTTTCTTTATCTTCCAATACTTCATTGTGTGTTTTCTAAGAAAATAAGGACATTTTCTTCTTAATCTCAGGAAACAAACTGAGGGTTGCTGGAGTGGTAGGGGGTGGGAGGGATGGGGTGGCTGGGTGATAGACTTTGGGGAGGGTGTGTGCTATGGTGAGTGCTGTGAATTGTGTAAGACTGTTGAATCACAGACCTGTACCTCTGAAACAAATAATACATTATATGTCAAAATAAAAGAAGATAGCAGGAAGGGAAAAATGAAGGGGGGGGAATGGAGGGGGAGACGAACCAGGAGAGACTATGGACTCTGAGAAACAAACTGAGGGTTCTAGAGGGGAGGGGGTGGGGGGATGGGTTAGCCTGGTGATGGGTATTAAAGAGGGCACGTATTGAATGGAGCACTGGGTGTTATATGCAAACAATGAATGATGGAACACTACATCAAAAACTGATGATATAATGTATGGTGATTAACATAACAAAATTAAAAAAAGTTAAATTAAAAAAAAGGACATTTTCTTATATAACCAGAAGAAAGTTACCAAATCCAGAATGTTAGCAGTGATATAATACTGTAATCAAATTCATAGGCTATATTCAAATTCTCAATAGCATTTTTTTTTTTTAATAAAAGGTGCTTTTTTTTTTTCCCTTTAAGTCCAGGATCCAACCATGCTCATGTGTTGCATTTAGTTATCGCATCTCTTCAGTCTCCTTTAATCTGGAACAGCTAGCTCCTCAGCCTTTTTTAAAAATTTCTTGACCTTGATATTTTTGAGGAGTGAAGGACTTTGTTGTAGGAAGTCCTTTTATTTGAGTATGTCCATTTCCTCACGATTAGCTTCAGGTTGTTTTTCCTTCCTTCCCTCCCTCCTTCTTTCCCTCCTTCCCGCTTTCCTTCTTTCCCTCCCTTCTTCCCTCCTTCCTAACCTAAACCAATCTACTTTTTTTTCTTTTTAAAGATTTTATTTATTTGTCAGAGAGATAGAGAGCACAAGCAGGGGGAGTGGCAGGGAGAGGGAGAAGCAGGCTCCCCGCTGAGCAGGGAGCCTGATGTGGGACTCGATCCCAGGATCCTGGGATCATGACCTGAGCTGAAGGCAGTCGCTTAACCGACTGAGCCACCCAGGCGCCCCTAAACCAATCTACTTCTTTTGCTCGAATATCACTGCAGTGATGTTCTGTTGGCCTCAGTGCATCCTGTCAGGAGGCACATGATGTCTCCCTGTTCTAATACTGGTGCTGCTAGCCTTGGTCAGTTGCTTAATTTGGGTCTCTTAAGTTTCTTTGCTGTACTGTTACATCTTTCTTCTTTAATTAATAACTTATTTGTGGGGGACACATTGAGATTAGCTAAATATCCTATTCCTCATCAAACTTGCCTGTTGTACTTTTAGGATCCATTGATGGTTTTCTAATTCTGTCATTCCTTCTATAATTATTAGTTGGCATTCTACTGAAAGGAATACACCTTTCCTTTTTGTTTTCCTTTATTTCCTATTTCTTTTTTTATTTTCTTTTTATTTAGGGCTCATGGATCTCGTGGCTTCTTATTTTATTCAATGGGTTATAACCCAGTACTATCATTGTTTATTTTGATGCCCCAATTGTCACACATTTGGATAGTGGAAGCCCCTACAGGCTATCTCCTGAGTTATTTTAATATGTTCCGATGATTCTTTGACCATTTCTTTACTTTATGCTGTAAGTATATGTTCCGGGCTTATTTTGTATTTTCCCAGCCACCGTCCTGGGATGAGCCATTTCTTTAAGGTTATTTTTAATAGAGCATAGTGTTTAGAAGTCATCATCTAGAAGCTAAGGTGTGCTCATTGGTCCTGAGGTGTTACTGTATCTAGGCCCTCCTGGGGCAGAGCTAGAAAATGGGTGTGGGTGTGGGTGTGTGTTACAAAACTGTAAGTTAGTGCTGATACCTCCTATTTCAAGTCAGGGTTCTAAAGTACATTCTGCTCTCCCACATTTACATATTTGGTAGTTCCTTAACAGTGTGAACCCTGGCTCCCTGGTCTTAATTTGCTCAACCTTAGAATACATGAAAAGTAGTTCCAGAATTGTTAAACCATACCACCACAAAAAACCAAAAATACTAAATTGAGTGTGATTCAGTGAAACAACTGACAGCACAGAAATATGAGCTAAATTGGGTGGCTCAGTCAGTTAAGCATCTGCCTTTGGCCCAGGGTCCTGTGTTCAAGTTCTGCATCAGGCTCCCTGCTCAGCAGGGAGTCTTGCTTCACCCTTTACCCCTCCCCCCTGCTCGTGATCTCTCCCTCTCTCTCTCTCTCAAATAAATAAAATATTTTTAAAAAAGGTTTCTTTACAGTTTTTAGAGGTGAATTACATATGTGAAAAACAAAAATATGTGGTCAGTTCTTTGAGTTTTGACACATATTCTTGGTCCTCTGAGAGTTCTGACTTTTTCTCCTCAGTCTCCTTTGCTGGCTTCCCAGCTCTGTGTTCATCTTCAAGATTGTTCCACAGACTTCTTCCCTCCCCTCCATATTCTGATACTCTGTGTTACACCTATTTGCATGATATTCTGTGCAGTCAGGATCAAGATAAACTCATTTTTGTAATCCTAGAACCTCTCATAGTCTAGGTATATGGAAGTGCTAACCAGGTGTTTGAAAAAAATGCACATAGTAATACTACGTCTATAGATTTCTATAGGTTGCATGTACAAGTTTGCTTTTGAGTATCCTGAATAAATAAAAGATCAGATTTGTATAATGCCAGATTACTAGTCTTCTTTCATTAATTCCAGTCTTTACATTTATTATGTTTATTTTTTACATTGTACCCTATGTGAAATTGAGCTATATCTTTAGTCAATGGCTCTTAACAGTTGCTGTTAGTCAGTTGTGGAAAATTCCATTAATCCTTTCTGGGTAGAGAGAAAGTACCAGCATTATATTATATTACAATTTTATTATATTTCACTAAGATTTAATGAAATATGGTGCAGTTATTTTGGTCACTTCTGCTACTGTATAAAAAGATGATTTGAAGCTATTGTGAGGTATGAAAGACAGCCTGAAAATTCCTTCACATTGGGATTGAGGAGTCCAGGTTGAAATAAGTTAGCTTACTTTTCCTTATTACATAGCAAGTTGCTGGGTTATCCACCTCAAAGGAAAACAAGACTGTGAGGTCTTAGAAGGATGGGGGCTAGGTCCTGTTTGTTTCTCTAGCTCCACTAAATGGCAGGAGCTTTCTAGTGTCTATGAGATGGCAGAGTGCTGATTTCAGTGCCAGTTGACTAACCTCTAGTGCGATTCCTCTGCCTGGGAAGAAGACATGGCAGGGGCAGCATCCTCCCGTCTGGGAGCCCTGCTGGGAACGTATGCTCAAGGGGAATGCTGGGCAGATGCCTTGTCCTCAGACCCAGAATACCATAGAACTCTGATGGCTCTGAATGGATTGTGACTTCTTTTCGTTTCATTATCAGTTAAAAAAATAACACTTATTTTCTTTATCGACAGGAGTGAAACCTCGGTCCGGTTGGTCTATTGATCCTTTTGGACATTCACCAACAATGGCTTATCTCCTCAAACGCGCCGGATTTTCTCACATGCTTATTCAGAGAGCTCATTATGCAGTTAAAAAACATTTTGCATTGCATAAAACGCTGGAATTTTTTTGGAGACAGAATTGGGGTACATAGGGTGTGATGAAAGTGGAAGATCTCACTTGACCTAGATGTTATTTCATAAGGGTTATGAACTCCTCCTGTTACGGGCTTTATTCAGAGTGTCAGTCTTGAAAATTAGGTTGCTTCAAGATATACGTTCTTACGATTTTTTTCCCAGTGTATTGGTGTTAAGATTCTCTTAAGCAGTGGTGAGGATATTTATCTATAGAACACCGTGGATTCTTTTTTATGCCTAAAGGAAGTAAATAAATGTAAGGAATTAGTCTTTTGCAAATAATGCTTTTACATGCTTCTGTTTTGAAAAGGACTTGTTTTATCACAAAGTTGAACATGTGTGAGAACTTATATCCAGTCCTTTATTTCACATTCAGCCTGTGTTTCCTCCTTCTGTCTTTCCTGTCTCTGCATCTAGTAAGAATTGCCTTTTAAACCATTAATCCTGTCCTCCTGAACAGCCCTCCTATTACCTGTCCTGCTTGTTTTCACGCTGTATTCTGTGGGTGCACAGGTGTTCCCAAGGTCATACTTCTACAGCTCTTTGCTGAGGGGTGGGAAGGAGACAAGATTTAGGCTTCTTGAGAGGTTTTTGCCTTTCCCAACCCCCATTTAATTCAGAATACCTTATTATTTCTTTTTCTTTATTGAGTTCTTTATTCTGGGCCATGCATTGTACTGTATGCTTTATATCTGCTCTCTCACTAGATCTTTATCCTTTATCTTCTCTTCTCTCATTATCCCTCTTAAATGGTGAAGAAATGGATGCTTAGAGCTGTGAAGCCTTTTGCCAAAGTCGTACAGGTAGTAGGTACAGAGGCGAGATCTGAATCCAGCTTTGTGTAGTTCAGAAGCCCAGGCTTTTAAGCCCCTGCCATTCACTGCTTTCCCGGTACTGGGCTTTCTGTAAGATTTCATCCACAAAAAGGGTTTCATTACTAAAACAATGTTCAGAAATTACTGCATTGCATCATACTTGTTTTCCTGTGTAAGTTAGATCCCCCCTTAAGTGTTTTCAAAAAATCGTTTGTAAAACTAGACAGTAACTTCCTGATACGTACTGCTGTTTTTTCAATAAGGAAAGAAATTAACTATATAATTTTTTATTCTGGAATTTAAAACCTGTAGGGAAAACGAGAACTTGTAGGGGGTTATATCCTGTATAGTTTGATCAAATGCAAAGAGCATATTAATTAAAAAAAAGGGATTGTTAATTTGAAGAGGCCCTACTTAACAGTATTGCCTACATTCAAATTGCCCATAAATACCAATCAGCAAGAAAGTACTGAGTACTTTTATGTACTTAATACCATGCTTGGAAGAAATACAGAAAACTTCCTTGCCTATCAGGAAATTATAGTCTTAATTTGATGAAAGACAAGACCAACAGCAGCAGATAAACTGAAACGTGTAAATGAGCTGCTAAATAGTATGGCTGAGGCGAAGGGGTGGGGCTGTTGAGTGTCTTTGATCTACCGGAGAAGGGAAGAGGAGTTGTCACCGAGGGCCTCTGTGCGGTTAGCAAGCATTAGTGACCAGATCCGTGATGTCACACTCGAGTGTGATTCAGTGAAGCAACTGACAGCACAAAAATATTCAAATTATAAAAGCTTTAAATTTTGGAAAAGAGCTGGTAACTAAATGGAGCACGAGATAGAACTGGAATATGTTAGCACTTACCAGATAGATTTGAACATGTTGCTTCAAAATTATGCTTTGGAACTCATTTGAGCTTCTTTGTGTGTTCTGGTTCTTAATGAAGGAGGTATTTTCATTTTTCAAAACGTGCGTGTTGCTTTTTTGTTTTCGTTGTTGTGTCTGTCTTTGTCATAAAAGCATCACATAACCCATTGCTGAAAAGTAGAAATCCACACTTTATAAATAAAGAGGGAGAGGTATTTACAGGTCAGGAGCCTAAAAGGTAACCATATTTAACCCTTGCTCAAGTCCTCCATCACTGGGTGGTAGGCTTCTGACCTCTCAAGGGCAGTGATAACAACACTTGCTGGCATTGGGCATTTAATTAAAGACAGTTCTGCATCAGGAACCAGTGCTCCCTTTCAGTATATTTTTTGTTTGCTTCGTTTTTATTCTTGGGTTTGTTTGTTTGTTTGTTTGTTTGTTTTGGTTTTAAGAAGTACTTCCCCTTGTCCTGTGCTGCTTTCTTGGTGAAAAGTCCTGGTGGCTCTTCATTGGTGAACAACGGGGAGACTCTGTGAACTCTTCCGGTTGCCCTTTCTTCTCCTCACAGCGAGAAATAGATAGGAATTTGCCCAGCATTCTCACAAGCCTCCCTACTTCTTCCTTTCCTCCTTTTATTCTCTTCCTCTCTCCTTCTCTCCTTTCCTCTGCGGCTAGTGTCATGGTCTTCCCCAGTGTGTCCCGTTACTGATGTGGGGACAGATGTTGCAAGGAGCTGGCAGCCAGGGATGGACACAGCCCATATTTTTGGATGAGCCAGGGATAACTTTTGCTTCTGTTCGTTTGTATCTTTCCAGGCCAGCACACGCTGGTCCGTGATGGGTCTCTGCTCAGTTTAGATAGAGGAGGTAGAGAGAGACTGAGATGTGAGTCTCTTCCTTCAGGCTGGTGGTCTTTAAATGCCACTGGAGTTTATGTATGAGTAGTAGTTAAGTAGGTTGTAGATTTAGGGTGGAGCTTGCATTATATATGTAGAAAGTACTGGCATTTTGAACAGTTTTGGGAAAACACAATTTATAAATCCAGGTTTGTCTGTTGGCTCTTTATTTTAGATCTGGGATCTGGCACAGATATTTTTTGCCACATGATGCCTTTCTACAGCTATGACATCCCTCGTACGTGTGGACCTGATCCTAAAATATGCTGCCAGTTTGATTTTAAACGGCTTCCCGGAGGCAGATTTGGTTGTCCCTGGGGAGTCCCCCCAGAAACAATACATCTTGGAAATGTCCAAAAGAGGTATGAAAATATGCATTTCATTAAGACAGCATCTTGAGCAAAGCAACAACTCTGCTGCTCTTTGCTAAAGGGTTCAGTAGCCAACATTATCCATGCTCAAGGTACTTATTCAACCAGATCTAAAGCAACTTAAAAATGCAGAGCTTTGACTGTGCCTTTTATGTGTTATAACTTAATGGAAAATGAACAACAGTTGATCAATATACAATGGAGAACCTATAACAGTCTGTTATTACCCTCTCCTTTGCCCTCATTATAAAAGCCTTCTGCTGCTTTTGATTGATCTCACATACTTTAGTTGATAATAAAACTTCTGGTCTCTATTGTATACATTGGTAAGAAAAGCAACCCAACTGCAAAAACAGGTTTATTGAAATGGAACACATAAAGAGTATAATTATCTGTTCTTTTAATACAATTTCAATAATAGTGGATGCTGCCCAGCTCTGATGAATACACTCTTTCGATCATTCTGATATTTTTGACTTGCAGACAATTTTTAATTAGGAATATTTATACTTAAAGATAATTACTTAAATAAAAAAGGGATGAAACATTTTTTTTAGGAAGAAAATTATGCTCATGACGGAAGCATCTCATTACCTATACTTGTCATTTGTTTGCTTTTAAAGTTTAATTTCTTCACTTAAAAATTACTGGTGTATAATGCCTTTAAATAAAACATTGTGTTGCAATATAAACCACTCACCTCTGGCAGAAAAATGATACAGGCTTTTATTTTATTTTTTTAGATCGATCATGTTATTTATTAAACACATGAGGAGATTTTTGAGAGTGAGGGGGGTAGCTATAAACAGTTAAAGTAGGATGACAGCCATAAATTCTGCAAACCACAACATTCATTAACTGTTTTTAAGACCCTGGAATTTCTGGTTTCTGAAAACCTACTCTGCCTAGGTTCTTGTACATGTTATCCTTAAAAAATTTTCAATAACATGATGGCAACACGAGTGTAGGAATATTTTTAAACTCACCATATTGTGTACACTAATTGTATAACAATAATTATGTGCAATTTTTTTTTGCCATTTGTAAGTTTGATGGTTTTTGGGAACTCCACGCTCGTGTGAATTGCTAAGAAGAAGCCAGGCATCCTGCGTTCCACAGGAGGGTTAAATGGGCAAGGATGAGGCAGGTCGGTAGTTACCAAGCATGGCTGCCCAAATTACCCAGGGAGCTTTCAAAAAATCTCCAGCCCAACAAAATGAGAATAGGGTGCCAACATAACCATGCCCCCAGGTGGTTTCGAAGCACAATGATAAAGCCTTTTAAATAAAGTAAGATCTTTGCACTGTGCACTATCAAGTCTATTTATTTTAAAAATTGCTTCTTTAAAAACTGGAAGGAGAAGGTGAGATTGAGTCTCTGCCTTGAGTCAGTCCTTGTGGCCATAAAATATTTCATTGAGGGTCTCTCACTCTGGCACACACAAAAGTATTTTAACATGGCAGCCTTTAACATAGATCGCTTCCAGCAAAATCTGATTTTTATAGTTATTTTGAAAAACTGTCCCGAGATTAGGGATCAACCTGGTTTCATTTTATTGGTTCCTACAGCAGTGAAGATCAGTGAGGAAGAGTGAATGGCGTGCTTTCTGGGCTTAGGTTAGTTAGGCGGAGGAGAATAATCCAGTGTATTATGTGGCAAAAGGTATAGAGCTAGGCAGCATACGCTCTTCTGTAGCTCAGGGGGTCAGAGATAGGGAATTTCTTTGAAGGTAACCAGATGCTTTAATTGGGGACTCCCAGTGCACCAAAGACCTTGTGAGGCTCCTCTTTTTCTTTTCTTGGGTGTTGCTGAGAGTACCTGTTTAAAGTGCATTATTGGAGGGGGGAAGCTATTTTGTGTAATCCTTTTGCTGTGTCCCATCTGACACTACAAAGATTGCCCCCCGGGAACATACCTTGTGCTCAGTCAGTTCCAGTGAATCTGCAAGTGATTTCCAGGCACCTGGGGGCATAGAGATGAAAGAGTCTATTTAATACTTCTGTAGATTTTTTAAAAAACTTCTTATAATTCTTGAAATCTTTACTGGTTACTTCACATCCAGATATCACCGTCCTTTTTACTTTGTGATTAATGGAGAGCAAACACGGGCATTCCAGCTTAGTGGCACGTGATTTTTAATACCCTAAAGAAAATGAAATTTAACTACAATTTACAGGTGATAAAATTGGTACTGTTTAGTTCAGCAGGTTCCTCTACTTCGCAAATAAAGAGGTACCATTCTTTATCACATTGAGTTTTTGTTCTCATACAAGTATTTTACATATGATGGTGATTTGTGTGTCAAATGATACAGGATGTTCTAGGAAATTTTTTTTCTTTGTTCTAGTTAAGTTGACATTTCTAACTGGTAGGAGTGAAGAGCAGATTGCTGCTGCACATCTTCAAGTGTGATATCGGTCATTTCATTTGGCATTAGTGTACAATGTATTTAGTGAATATCCACTCTCTACCAGGTAGTGTAGATTGGTCTCTTGAATTCCGTGTTGACACCTTCTGAGCAGGAGCTTGGGAGTTAGGACAGATGCTGAATGGAAGACTCACACTTAATGTTTGTGATTCTTTCCTCTTATGTGTCATATGCATATACACACAAGATACGGTATATCTAGTAGTAAACCTTGGCATTCATTTAAATGATCACTTATCCTTTTCTATGCTGGTTGCCTAGGGGAATCCGATTGGATGCTCAGTCATAGTGTATCTTTCTCATATCTGATTTATATGTTTGGTTTTTTTCTCTTATTTTTCTTTCTATTTGATTAGTCTCATTAGACATGTATTTTTTTAATTATAACTAATAATCCAAGGTTATTTTTGGTTAAGTGTGGAATATTAGTAAATTATTAGTAAAAATTAAGTACTCTACTGAACGCTAATCTCAGAAAACTATGTTATGTAAGAACATTATGGTTATATTTTACTCACCAAGTTATTGAATTTTGCTAATAATTTAATATTTGCAAAGCAGTTTCAGAGACTATCAGTATAAAAAGATCATGTGAATTTCTAAATTTAGTTAAATGTTTTTAATTCTATAAAATACTTCGTTCCATTATTGATGGTCTTTGAGTTTCTTTCGTAAGTTTTTATATTGTGAATTGGAACTTCTCGATAACCCTAGAAATGAAAATTGGAATACTGGGTAAAAAGCACATTAGTCATTTATCACTGATTTCTTAAGCTTGGCATTACAAACATAGAGAACTACTCTGAGTTCTTCATCCGCTTATTTAATTTCATTTTTATAAGCCATTCCTCTTAAATACTTTGTATTCCTAGACTTCCTCAAATGGTACCCCGGTTCAGCATTCAGCAGTTCAACCCCAAAGGTTTTCTGCAGAATACTAGAATAATATGAAATATAAAAACACATCAGCACATTTAGTATTTAGCTGACCTTTGGACTCATGGGTTAGATCTGAGGAAGGTAGAAATCAAAAAAGCTATTTGATCTCCAAAACTTTATCTGTTGATCAGCCCTGAGAAGGACACTGACAGATATCCAGTTTATTGATGGCAGGTGTTAAGTGAGTTGTTTTTCTTCTGTTTGAAGAGGAAATCAGGTTCTATAATTGGTTTCATTCAAACTATTAATTTTTTTATGTGTAATCAGGCAAGTTTAGATCAAATTAGAGAAAGGCATCTTGAGTCAAAGCCAACTTCAAAGTTTATATAGATAAGAAATCCTTATTGTCTTCTTGGACTAAATTATTTTAAAATACAGGCAATCTGGGATCCAGTGTCTATGGCCGGGCTTCAGGAGGCCATTGATGTTCCCAGTAATTTTATGTCAAAGTTGGTATGTGACTTTATTTCTCTAAGGATAATCCATTGGAAACCTGTGGGTTTTTCTCTCTGGTAAGAATTTATGAATATATTTTTTAGAAGATTTATTTATCCATTTTAGAGAGAAAGAGCAGAGGGGAGGGGCAGAAGGAGAGCGAGAAAGAATCCCAAGCAGACTCTGCGCTGAGCACAGGACCTAATGTGGGGCTTGATTTCATGACTTAGAGACCATGACTGAGCCAAAACCAAAAGCCTGGATGCTCAACCAACTGCGCCACCCAGGCACCCCAAAATTTATGAATATTTTAAGTGGATAATGAAAATTAGTATAGTAGTTTTAAAAAATCTGCCTTATAAATCATACTAACCTAGAATACAGGTAAAGTATACAACAATTTCTTTTAACATAATACACTTTTTAATGAGTTGCCCCATTGTCCTTTTCTTAGTACTGTTCTTATTTTCCTTTTTCTTTTGTAGGGCTGAGATGCTTCTAGATCAGTACCGAAAGAAGTCAAAGCTCTTCCGTACTACAGTTGTCCTGGCCCCACTAGGAGATGATTTTCGCTACTGTGAACGCATAGAATGGGATCATCAGTATAAGAATTATCAGCTGCTTTTTGATTATATGAATTCTCATCCTGAGTATAATGTTAAGGTAATTTGAAAATATTTAATTATGATACTGTATTTGAAGTTGAGCCTTCATTATTAAATGAGGCTAAAACACAACAGCCTTAGTTTCTTTGTCCCACATCCCAATATTTCCTAGAATATGTAGTTTGTATGTAAGAGTGTAGTTCTTAAAGAGGAAAATTATCTAGTACTATAGTTGCATTTCTGAAGTTGTCCCTTTCCCCCCATTCCTACAGCATTAAAGAGACTTTACTTTTATGTAGTTGTAAATATGCACCTACTAAGTTGTGATCTTCAGTTTTCAGTGATGTCCTGTTTTTCTACCAGCATCAAAAGTTTGTTTCTCTGACGGCTGCATCCTTGTGATTTTAGTAATGTGACGGGCAATGCAGATGAACGTGTCATGAATTTTGCAAATTAATGTCTTGTGTCCAGAGAATACACTAGCATCTTTCTTAGTTGAGAAGACTTCCAAAATTAATCATTTACCTGTAGTTCTTTCTCTCTTTTTTTTTTCCCCTTTTGGAAAATTTTGAATGTACCCTAAAGTTTTGAGAACAACTTAAGTACCCTTCCCCTGACCCCTGCCTCCCCATATCCATAGCTCAGCTACCACATTGATCAACTCGAGGTCACTCTCACTTCAGCTGTGCCTCACTGTCCTCTCTCACCCTCTCCCAGGGATTATTTTGGAGGAAATAGTAGTCATGTAGTTTCATCTGTAACCATTTCATTATGTATCTAAATGATAAGGACTCTGTTTAAAAATACAATCATAATGCCACTATTATATCTAAAAAATTAACAATAATTCAATATTATCATATATCCAGATAGATTCAGATTTTCCTGATCACATACAGGCATTTTTTTTAAAGCATATGTTTCATGAGTCAGGATTCAAACAAGAGTCCTATATTAGACCCTATATGAGAAAATTACCCAATGTGTTTATTATATTCACATACTAACCTATGAGACAGTAGAATATTTGTGGAAATACTACAGAAAGGAAGAGATGTTACTGTTTAGGAAATTAGAAAGCTGATGATAGGTCACATTTTATGTAGGGAGAATTCAAGTTTATTAAGTAAATGTAAATAATATTAAATAGTTAAATAAACTTAAATAAAATGCCAGGTGTATTCAAGATACTTACAACTGAATTTCTACCAAATTATGAACTTTAGGTCTATGTTTAAATCATCTCTATAATCTCCTCAAAGATGAAGCTGATACACAAACATTTACTTAGGGGATGGCATATGCAGATGGGTATTTTATCCCTAAGTACATCTTCCTAGTGAATGGTTTTGAGATCCATAAAAGGATCTACCACTCATTCTAAAGAATTAAAGTACTGATTTTTGTATTTTACCTATTTCCTTCTTTGCCCAGTAGGGCAATTTGTAAAGTCACTTTAAAAAGCATCCAACTCTTGATTTTGGTTCAGGTCATGGTCTCAGGGTCACATACTTAAGATTTCCTTCTTGTATCATTTCAAAAGAAAAAACACTAACCATGATGATAGAAGGGAAAATAAGGTTACTTTTGTAAGATTTGGCAATGATTTGAATGAGCGGGGGGGGGGCAGGGGGAGGGGAGAGAGAGACTCTCAAGCAGACTCTGTACTGAGTGCGGAGCCCAATGTGAAGCTCATTCTCATGACCCTGAGATCATGACCTGAACCAAAATCAAGAGTTGGATTTCTTAACCAACTGAGCCATCCAGGCGCCCCACAGTATATTCAATTTTAATACTGTATATTATCTTTAATATCCATTTGATAAATACATCACAATTTGTCCATTGTATTATTGATGGACATTTGGGTTGTTTCCAGTTTTTGTGTATTACAAATAAAGCCATTTTGAATATTTTGTGCATGTTTTTATATACATGTATGTGAATTTATGTGGGTATAAAATGGGATAGAAATTTTTGGTCATGGGTATGCACATGTTCAACTTCAGTAGATATTGCCAAATGGTATCCCAAAATAGATGCACTAGTCGTTGCATTGTATGACAATTTCAGTTGCTGTACTTCCTTACTCAGATTTTTTGTTAGGATTTTTTTTTCATTTTTAATTTTTATGATCGATATGATGGTTTTATTTTATATTTCCCTGGTAGTTAATGAATTGAACCTCTTTTCATAAGTTTATTGCCATTTAGGTATCCTCTTTTGTGAAGTGACTATTTAAATCTTTTGATGACTTTTCCTTAAATTGGGTTGTCTGTTTATTTTGTACCATTTATAACTCTTTTATATATTTTGGTTTGAGTCTTCCTTCAGATAAAAGTTATACAAATATTGTCTCCCACTATGTGAGCCTGTTTTTTAATTTCTTTCTTAATGCTGTCTTTTGATAAACAGAAATTCTTTGTTTTAATTAAATCTAATATAACAGTATTTTCCTTTCCATGTCATGTTCTGCTTAAGAAATTTTTGTTTATACCCCATAATTATGAAAATACGCTTCCTATGAAGCTGTCCTCCAGAAGCTTTATTGTTTTACCTTCAATATTTAGGTCTGTAATCTGTTTGGAATTGATTTTTTTGTGAATTGTATGAAGACAGGGATCGAGGTGCATTTTTGCCCATATGGGTATCTACCACCATTTATTGAAAAGACCAGTGTGCCCACTTTACTGCAGCATCATCTTTTTCATTAATTTTGAGTGAAACTATTTGTGTGGCTCTTGTATAGACTCTATTCAATTTTGTCTATTTAGTCTCGGACTGTCTTAATTACTATAGTTTTAGAATGGATCTTAATTTCTGATAGCATAAGTCTTCTAATTTTGTTTTCCTTCTCAAGATTGCATTGGTTTTCTTTATAGTTCTGTATAGGTTTAAGATCAATTTTTAAATTTCTACCAAAAAAAGTTGGAATTTTGATTGGCATTGCATTGAACCTATAGATCAATTTGAGTACCGTTAACTTCTTTACAAATATTAGGCCATCCATGAATGTGGTATATTCCATGTATAAAAATACAGTTGACTTTTGCATTCTAACCTTGTACCCAGTAACCTTCATGCATTTCCTTTCTTTCTGGAATTTTTGTCACTCAAGTGTTGGCTGCTTTGATTGTCCTTAGATACCTTCAAACAAAAGCTTTTTTTCTCTCTGTGGTTTATCTAGTATCTGTTCTCTGTAGGATGTTTGAAGTTATTTTGTCCAAGCCAGAAGCTTCAGTTTATTATTTTCTTTTAATGAAAGGAAAAACCCAAGTAAGCAATTGAATTTAGATGGCTAAAAATTGACATTGTACCAACCAAGCCAGTCAGTTTCCCATTGGTCATCACTTATTTAACAATTTATGTATTTTTCTCATATGTTGCTCTGATAGAGGAGTTTGATTATGTTTAAGATTAAGGTTATGTTAAAGATATAATTTGTTGCCTTTTGAAGTAAAAAACATCTACTTTTTTTTTTGGTTATTTGGAATACGTACTTTGAGCTACCAAGAGACTATAGAAAAATTCACTCTTAAATAATTTCTTTTGAAACTACTCTAGGATAGATACAGGATTATATATCAGTCCTTTGAGATTGAATTAAATTTGTGAGAATGCTCACCAGGCTACTTAAATGAACTTTGCCTGGGGCAATTGCCAAGAAGGAAATACTTTCATCTTGGCTAATACCAAAAATTAGTTACAATATTCTAAAAGGGTATACTTTGTTGTTAATATTAACTCTGTAGCATGCCACAGTTCCCTGAAATCTGAAAATGAAGGGAATTTTTGTTATCTCATAGAAATCCCTTTTTATATAGATGAGAAAGTGAGTCAGAAATTTAGATTGTTGAAAATTTTTTACTTTTATCAGTATACTTCCCTGAGCTTGTCTGTACTATTGGGCCTGAAGTTAATGCTGTATTTCTTTGCATTTGTGACCCTCATGGTTATACACACACACACTTATATTCTGCTTCTTAGAATGTGTTAAGTGAGTAATAAATAACACTTAATTTTTGAGTACTTACTATTTGCTATTAACGTTTTCTTTTAGAGAGAGAGCATGCACTTTGGGGGTGCGGGGGCGTGGGGATGGGGAAAGGGAGAGAGAGAATCTTAAGCAGGCTCCATGCCCAGCACAGAGCCCAATGTGGGGCTCGATCTTATGACCCCGAGATCATGACCTGAGCTGGAACCAAGAGTCAGGTGCTTAACCAACTGGGCCATCCAGGCACCCCTGCTATTAACTTTTTAAAGTGCTTCACTTTAGTTAACTTATTTAATTCTCTGAACATTTTCTGGTAGGTACTATAATTATCCCCATTAGAGATGAGGAAACTGAGGCACAAATATATTAACTTGCCCAAGATACATTGTATTTGGTGAAGCCAAGATAAGACAAGGTAATATTGTTGAAAATTGCTTTTCTGTGATGTAAACATAAGGATTTAGAAATAATTATCTATTTTGCTGTTATAAAATTTATTGTGTCACAGGTACATGATAACTTCTATTTGTCTTACTAATATCATCATGTTTCCAGCTGAAATTTTGCCTTTGCAATAGAAAAATGATAGCTAAAACTTAGACCATTATTCCCAGTTGTGTTTCTAAGCATTTTACTTAGAACCCTATTAGCTGTAACACAGACACAGAGACAATATATAAATATGCTCAAAACCACATTGTTAGGTAAATGGTAGAGATGGAATTCAAACCAATGCTATCTGGATCCAGGTTCTGTGCTGTTCTTAACCACTCTTCTAGAGTGCTACTCACTGTTTTTAACTACTCTTTTTTTTTTTTCTTAAGATTTTATTTATTTGACAGAGACACAGCTAGAGAGAGAACACAAGAAGGGGGAGTGGGAGAGGGAGAAGCAGGCTTCCTGCAGAGCAGGGAGCCCGATGTGGGGCTTGATCCCAGGACCCTGGGACCATGACCTGAGCCAAAGGCAGATGCTTAATGACTGAGCCACCCAGGCACCCCTGTTTTTAACTGCTCTTAATTATTTTTCTGCCACATTGAATTAAAGTAGCTTTTAGTATCTGTGTGTGTGTGTGTGTGTGTATCTGTGTGTGGTAGGAAACAACAAAAATAGCATCTTAATATTCAAAGAAATACATTCCCTGTTAAATTCTCTGTTTATCTCTAAAAACACTGCCTTTTAATATCTGTTTACATGGTGTGGTATAATACTTCTTTTTTCCTTTGATTTATGGAATAGCTTGGGCTCATAAAAATGGATTTATGTTCTGTTAATTTAAATCATTAGTCAAAAGACCTTTTCATTTGAGCAGTCAACCTTGCAGTTCTTGTCACTCTTTGTGTTTTACTTCTATTCAATGTTACCTGCTGGTAGATAAAGTCCATTTTTTTAATGACCTGCTGTTCTTAAAGTCTCCCTTATGAGAGCTCAAGCAAGGGGAATGGGGAGGCCAGGGGTGTGTATGTGCATATGACATATGAAAATACTTAATGGTTAACCAAACTGTATGTAAATGTTTTATTTTTGCTGCTTCCTCCCATCTTTTATTCATCTCTGAATTATTCTATTCCCTGACCCTTGCACACTTTGAAATTCTGGAGATTGGTAAGGTGTTTTCAGATCCACAGATTTGTATATCTCAGTAGTTCTTCTAACCCCTTAGGGGTGTAAGTTTTATTTTAGTTTAATTTGGGACCTGATGCAAGTGAAAGAGCTACTGTATATTTTTCCCCCTGCTTTTGAGTTTTGTAAAATCTGAGCTAGAATTTCATCTTAACTGGAAAGCGCATCTTAAATATTTACTGTTAACTTTTCCTTTTAGTGCTAGAAGTAATTTTAAGGTAGAGATGAATAAGTGTCACTTTTTTTTTTATTAGATACAGTTTGGGACTTTATCAGATTATTTTGATGCACTGGATAAAGAAGATGTAACCATTAGAAAGAATAGCCAATCCATGTCCCCTGTTCTAAGTGGAGATTTTTTCACTTATGCTGACCGAGACGATCATTACTGGAGCGGCTACTTTACATCCAGACCCTTCTACAAACGAATGGATAGGATATTGGAATCCCATCTAAGGTACAAAATTTACGTTTAGAAAGCTACATTAATTATTCACCTTTTTTATGTGATCATAGCACATAGCATAGCATAGAGTTTTGCATAATATACAACATGTATGCAGTATTGGGATGTGTTTAATGTAATTGTGAAATTTTAATGCAATCAGAGCTATGTCTCTAGTGCATAATCAGATTATTATATGGGCTTTTGTTCTGAAAAAAGCAGTTTATCTGATTAGACTTTCTCTTGTATCTTATGTTTTATATGTTTCTAATTAATTACTGGTATTGTTTGCACACCGTGATAATATCCAGTGGCATTGTTATGTGTGTCTGCAGGTCAGTAGCCAGACAGACTAAATTGCTGGAAACAAGCAAGGGTCACAAGGAACAAACAGGGCCTCTCTGTGGCTAAAATGTGGGCCTCAAAGTACACAATCTAAAACTAATGCATTTTATATGTGGGAGAACTTCAGAGGCTCCACCTCAGTTCTTATTTATTGAAACATAGTTCTATAGGTGTGATTCTCTGCTTAGAAGAGCAAAACTTGAAAGAGATGAGAACTGATGGCGGCAGAGTGATTGGCTGAAAAAGCATAGTGACAGGGAGAAAGCAGAAAAGTCAGGAGAAAACAAAAACGCTCTAACCAGCGTTGTCCAGTAGAACTTTCAGTCACTGTCCAACAGAACTTTCTGCAGTGGTAGAAATCTTCTGTTTCTGTTTTCTGCACTGTTTAGTATGGCCACTTGCCACATGTAACTGTTGAGCACTTGAAATGTGACCAGTGTGGCTGAGGAAGTGAACTCTTAATTTCCTTTAATTTGAGTTGATTTAAATGTAAATAAATAATCACACGTGGCTAGTAGCTATCTTTGTGGGTCCTGTTACTTTTTGGTAAGGATGAACCACCCTGGGGACTCCTGGGGCTCTCTCTATGTGTGTGTAGCGTGGGAGCTTAATTCATTTTCGTGATGAGTTCACTTTCAGCTTAGTTCAGATCATGAATTCATGATGATTAATTTTCATGATGAATCTCAGTATTAAAAATAAAAAGTCATGTTATATCTACCTTCTTCTCCGTACTGGTAGAAATAGTACATTTTGGAAAGCCCTTTTATAAAGATCATGAATTTCTCCCAGAGTTGTACTTTGGTATAGTAGTGTGTTTTTTTTTTATTTTTACTGTTTCATGCTGTCAGCATTATTTCAAAAGCCTGATCTTTGCCTTTTTTTGGGGATATTCACAAATGTGCCAGATGGATACATATTCCTGTATTTGTAATAAAATAGTATTTCTATATTAGAGAGATTGATGCATTCTTGCCCAATAGAATATTAATTCTCTATTATGTTACTCTAAACTACCTATGATAAAAACAGAGAAAGTACTAAGTAATGTAGAGATTCTTTTGGACTACTGCACTTTTTTAAAAGTGTCAACTATTTTTTAGTGACAGAGTTACAAATATTGATTCAATTTTAATTTATTGAACATATTTAAGGTGAAGTACTTAGTGTGAGTAATAATATATTTTGAAAATTCTGCTTTAAAATAAAATGACAAAAAACCATATAATAATGACAAATTTCAAAATGTAATCAACTTACTTGAAAATAAGTTTATTGTCTGATTATAGATATTTCATCTTGATGCTCATTTGTAAAACATTTGGATAGGATAGAAGAGTATAAAGAAGAAAATATTTTTTAAACCCCCTTTTTACATTTTGGGATATCTATATGTATAGGTACTCTTTGCAAAGCCAGGAATATGTGCTATGGGTATAGATGAACATATATACACAATTTCTTTAATTCAAACTTAGTGTTTCTCCTGCCATGAATTTTAGAAAGATTAGAATTTAAAGGCAGAGATTATTTAGTATCTTCTAATTATTTCAAAATTTAAAACAATTCTTTTTTTTTTTTGAGTACTTTAAATTTATCCTTTTCCTTATATTGTGATACATTTTCAAGCTGCCTTGGTTTTCTCTCCATCCTTCTTAATATGTTTGGCATAAAGAACCTTCTTAAACTTTTTACTTCATCAAGCCATCTCTTTTTTTTTTAAGATTTTATTTATTTATTTTTAAAGATTTTATTTATTTATTTGACAGAGAGAGACACAGAGAGAGAGGGAACACAGCAGGGGGAGTGGGGGAGGGAGAAGCAGGCTTCTCGCTGAGCAGGGAGCCCCATGTGGGGCTCGATCCCAGGATCCTGGGACCATGACCTCAGCTGAGGGCAGACGCTTAACGACTGAGCCACCCAGGCACCCCAAGCCATATCTCTTTTTTAAAGAACTTTTTCGAAACCTGTCTTGAACCATATCCTCTGATGAAAAAAATAAAGCATGAAAATGATAAGTCCCCATATTCTTGCTCAAAAACTACTCGTAAGCCCAAGTGTTTTTTCTTTAAAATAAACGAGAAGCGACAGCATATGTTTTATCACCTTTCAGTTTATATTGTTACTTTCCCTCTAGTTGTCGAATGTTCTCATTCAGCACAGAGACTAGCTGTTGTCACTGAGCTGTCAGGCCATCGCTTTCTGCCTCTCCTTCACTGTTAGTCTCCCACTCATGTGACCATTTCTGCACCGTCTCTCCTTTAATGTATGTATGTGAGAGTGAATGGCTTTCTGGTGATGAAGTTCCTGGTATGTGTCTGGGCTGATCTTGGAGAAAAGAAAGGGCAGCAACCATTATCCACTTTTTACTGCTGTTTCGAGCTTTTTTTTTTTTTTTTCACTATGTTATACATAAGTATACCTGTCTCGCTGCCAGTGGGTACTGGCTTCTTTCCAGGACCATCTAGAACAAGCGCCCTTTATATCAATTTAGACATGATGTTCTCTGATGATTGATAATCTAGATATATTAGATGGATACCTAGATGGTTTTATAGGAATGTTTATTATCAATATCTTTTTTATCAATTGTGCTGAAATGTGGATTTTTTTTTTTCTTTTTTTTATTCTTATGTTAATCCCCATACATTACAACATTAGTTTTAGATGAAGTGTTCCATGATTCATTGTTTGTGCATAACACCCAGTGCTCCATGCAGAATGTGCCCTCCTCAATACCCACCACCAGGCTAACCCATCCTCCCACCCCCCTCCCCTCTAGAACCCTGTTTGTTTTTCAGAGTCCATCGTCTCTCATGGTTCGTCTACCCCTCCTATTTCCCCCGCTTCATTCTTCCCCTCCCGCTACCTTCTTCTTCTTCTTTTTTTTTCCTTAACATATATTGCATTATTTGTTTCAGAGGTACAGATCTGAGATTCAACAGTCTTGCACAATTCACAGCGCTTACCAGAGCACATACCCTCCCCAGTGTCTATCACCCAGTCCCCCCATCCCTCCCACCCCAACCCCCACTCCAACAACACTCAGTTTGTTTCCTGCGATTAAGAATTCCTCATATCAGTGAGATCATATGATACATGTCTTTCTCTGTTTGACTTTGAAATGTGGATTTTTTAAAAAATGCATTTAAAAATTGTATCAGTACCACATATTTTAAATAGTAAATGTTTGTTTTGAAATAAGAATTAATGACTGTTTTATACAATTAGGGCTGCTGAAATTCTTTACTGTTTCGCCCTGAAACAAGCTCAGAAATACAAGATAAGTAAATTTCTTTCATCATCCCATTACATGGCACTGACAGAAGCCAGAAGAAATTTGGGACTGTTTCAACATCATGATGCTATCACAGGAACTGCAAAAGATTGGGTGGTTGTGGATTATGGTACCAGGTAATATAATTATTAAAAAGTGATTATAAAACAATTTTTTTTTTAATTTTGGGTCACAGGCTTATATCTTTGATGAAATTGTTAATGTACATCAGACCATATCAATAATGACATCCCTTATAAGTATTGCTATAGAAAAACAACATCAATATTCAAAGCATTTTTCAAGAATTGTATTGAGAATGTACTAGCTGTCCTAACTTTTTATTGCAGTGCATTTCTGCAAATGGAGTAGTAAAACATTATTATAAAGCTGATTCTGTTTTCTCCCAAGTATAATGTGGTAATTGGGGTTACCTTGTTGACCAGGGATTTGGTATCAAATAAATCATAGCTATAATCCAAGGAGATAAAGAGCCATACTTGATTGTATAGCAGTTTAATTTCATCCTATTTCATATCCAGTTGTTCTCAGCCTAGAGTTTAGCCAGGAAGTAGAAGAACCTAGAAACTTTGACATATATAGATGATATAAGGAATTGGGATGAGAAGGGTTGGCTTGGGTATTGATATCAAAACCATCTTCAACTCTTAGAAGGTCTGTGAGATGAGTGAGGGAGGGGAAGCTCAGTTATTTTCACATTGCAGGATTGGAAACAGTGAGTACAGGCTTTAGCTCAGAACAGCAGGAGACTTTGTAAATAGTGCTTCCCAATAATCAAAAGGCTTACCTTTTGTGATAGTGAGATTTCCATCATCATGCCCTAGTTTGGGTAACCATTCATTAGGATCATTGTAGAGGAGATTCCTATGTTGGGGAAGGAGTTTTGACTATTATTTCATTATGGCTTAGTTATTATTTCTTCCAGATTTTTTTCCTATCAAAAATGGTGTACTTCAATAATATTTTAAAATTGTTAAAGTGTGCTCTGATTTTCTTATAATACAGATTTAAGAAGTGAACCTCTTTTTTTAATAAATGCTCTCTCCCATATGTTAAAAGTGTATACAACATATAAAGTCAACATTACAGATTGATCCACAACTGATATCACTAATCATTATAAGTGTTAATTAAAATTTTAGTTATAGTATTTTGACTGCCTTTCTAGATATTTGAAAAACAAATTCTTGAGGTTTCATTAGTTGACTTGAATCCTTGAAAATATATTCATGGTAGCATCTTGAATATCTTCTCAGTTTTCTTGTGGCAAATGTATTTGGCATCTGTTGAGGTTGAGCTGGGCTTAAAATGGAAAACATTCATTGGCTGATAATGATAATTGGTTTTTCTCCCACAGAAGGCATTTTTTAAAATAAGGTCAGATCCTCCATTTTTTTCCTTTTCACCTGCTCCTGTCTTCTTGGTTTATTGAATTTAAAAGTGAGGCTTATATTCAGAAAAGAGTTCCTAAGAGGAAATGAAGAAGTCATTCTCCTATACTGTCTACCTGCTCTCTCTCTGGCTGCCATATTGAAAGAGACTTGGGTACAGGTCATTGAGTTTTTGCAACTGAACATTTTCTATCTCATAACCTTTCCAGAAGGGCTGTCATTAGTTCCTCCATATGTTTGGTTATGCTTTTAGCTTATAAAAACATCACCATACAAATTTGCATCTTAGAGAAAAAAGACAATAATTCTCAAATTATACTTGACATTTGTAAATTTGCTTTGCGAGCACTTCACACTTCATTGAGAAGTCATACACAATTATCAAGTCATTAGCATAGACATTTTAAGTAGGAAATTTCAAAACACAAGTTAGAGAGTTATAAACAAAGAGGCAGCTAGCATTGGGTGCTCTCTTGTTCTTAGACTGTTGACTGTTTATTCAAATGTTGGCAGAAGTGTCCCTGTGAACAAGTGTATGAGTTAAGGATTGCATTTGGCTGCTAGTAATAACAACTTAAAACTGAATAAATCCTATCCTACTTATTTTTATGCCACGTGGAAGAAGTCTGCAGGTCCCCAGTTCAGGTATAGCAGCTCTACAGTGCCGACAGGGGTCCAGACCCTTCTAGCTTTCTCTTCTGCCATCTAAAGGTGATTCTTACTTAGAGTACTGCTCTCAACAGTAGATTGAATGTTTATATAATTATCACCTGGAGAACAAGAATACATCATGGCTATTTGAAGGTAAATTCTAATCATGGCATGAAAAAATGAATTAGAGGGGGACAGTGTTTGTGATGGATGTTCAGCCTAAAAGTGGATAATGGGGCTATGTGCAAGAGAAGAAATGGTAATGAGATCAGTTACAGAAATATTTAGAATTCTGCCTATTTCTATGTTGTAGTTAAGGTAGGTAGGAGAAAAAAATGAACAAAGGGTAAGTATGAGGGCCCATATGTATAGATCAAACTTCACTGACAAACATGATAGTATCTGCCTGAAACAGTAGTAATGATACCAGAGTAGAAAACTGTGATTTCTAAGTGATGGTCCGGTTCAGTGATAATAAAATACGGGCATGTTAGAAAATTAGAGGCTCTGGGAAGTCCCACAATGATGAATTGTTGAAACATTAAAATTTTGCTTTACCCAATGTTTCCCAAACTTATTTACTGTGTTTAGTCTTGTTTTGCTTTAAACAGAATGGCTTTATGCATCCTGAGAAAGCATTTGGGGAATACACTACCAGTTCTTAGTGCTTACCTCGTTAGAAGACTGTGCATGTGCCTTTAGGATACAAACATTGATGTGTGGCATTCCCTCAGTTTAAGCTCCAGTGCACTGTAATACATATAAGGTTTTAGCTGATGGAGCACATGACTTTTTTTTTTTTTAAAGATTTTATTTATTTATTTCACAGAGAAAGAGACAGTGAGAGAGGGAACACAAGCAGGGGGAGTGGGAGAGGGAGAAGCAGGCTTCCCGCTGAGCAGGGAGCCTGATGCGGGGCTCGATCCCAGGACCCTGGGATCATGACCTGAGCCGAAGGCAGACACTTAACAACTGAGCCACCCAGGCGCCCCTTCTTTTTTTTTTTTTTTTTAAAGATTTATTTCACAGAGAGAGAGACAGTGAGAGAGGGAACACAAGCAGGGGGAGTGGAACATGACTTTTATTCTTCAGGTTCTGACAGCCTAATAAAGATTGCCATATAGATAAAAATAAACTTAAATCGAGGGGCTTGTTCCTATAACTGAATTGTAGTCACTCATATTGTCTTTTAGTCTGGTGAAAACACTTGTTATCACCTAGGAAAACATTTGAATAGACTAAGAAACTTAGCTGGATGATGGCCTGAACTCACATGCAGAAGACTTTAACACTATGTATGTATAACACATTTGCATAGTTAATTAACTTACTGATTGTGATCACTTACATCTTTGAAAGTAATCTCAGTGTTCTGCAAAAAGAAGTTATTTTTAATTCTCTTAAACATTTTTTTGTCGTTGCATGCCAACAAAAATGTTCTTAACATGTAGGTCCAAAATTGCGTCCTGTATTGGGGAAAATAATATAATCACTCTATAAACATAATAGATTCAATGGCTGATTGAAAGCATGTTTAGCCAAGTTTTTCGACAGATTTCTTCAGTGGCTTTACTTAGGGTTACCTGTTCTATAAAGGTTTAAATAAACAAGATGGAACTTGAAAAAAAAAAACCTTCAAATTCTTTTCCCACGTGTAGTGCTTCAGCAATAGTTGATATTGTACCAATATTATATTCCAGAATTGATCTTGAGTAGGTTGATTCATACGCATCTCTTTGGTTCCTCAGACATAAAAGTACAATTGGAATACAATTAACAATTTTAATGACCAAGAAAAGTAACAAGGAGAAAGACAATTTCATTATCCAGACCTGTGAAAACTTTCTCTTTTTTTGAACAAGAACATGAAACTAAAGTCAACAAAATATTTATTTGAAGTTTTCAGGAATTTGAGTTTTTTGAAGTATGTATACTGAACGAATATTCTTGTGAGTGACAGTTAATCTCATGCTTTCTTTTGCTGTTTCAACATTTGTTAAAGAATTCTCTAAAGTAAAGGACCAAATCACTTTTTTGGTAACAAAGCCTTAAAGCTATTGGAGTGATCATGTTGAATATTCTTAGTATTTGGCATGATACTTGTAGAAAGTATCGGTAGTTTGATTAAGTTTACACGTTTCAGGTGTATACAGAAAGTTTTCTATTTTAAATGAATCCTTATTAGTGAAATCTTTTGACTAACTTTTTTTTCCTAAGTACTTAGTTCTGGGCAAAGAAGAGTCCGTTCATTATAGCTTCATTATAGGTTTCACTTTGTGAATACAGGATGATGGTGGTTTGGCCATTATTAAAGAAACTGAAAATATTGTATACTGATGTTTGAATTGCTTCTCAGACCAGTAATAATTTTTGGTTCACAGACTCTTTCATTCATTAACGAATTTGAAGAAGATAATTGGATATTCTGCACTACTTCTTATTTTGAAGGACAAAACCTCGTACAACTCTTACTCTTTTGATAACCTCCTAGACATGGTTAGTTGCTACCTTTTATATTATCATAAAAATGTGTGATTCTTTTGTTCTTGATTCAGAAAAGGGGGTGAGAAGCTGAGTGAAAAGAAACCTTGAAAAATAGTGATTTCCTTATACATGATTTGAAAGAATTTGCATCATTTTATATGAAATACCTATGTGTTCTTCTTTCCTGTAAGTGTGTCTGTATTTGATTTATGGTGTATATTTTGTTCTGACGAAATCTAAGCATGAAAACTAATGAACTTCATTATGTGGAACATACAGCTTTGAGAACACTATTAATATGATACTGTAAGGTAACTAGACGCTGTAATTAGTTATTTTGCTTGGCTTTGATTAGAAGCCCCTGAATTGTCTTCTGGTTTCAGGATGAGCCCATGGAGCGCTGTGAGCAGTGCTCAGATGTGTGTAACAGCAGAGGAGCAGTTGAGGAATTAAAGACTAGCTATTAGCCCCACCTCTGTACCTGATTGCATGGGCCTGAAAAAGCTGCTTAACATCTGTGAGCCCTCATTCATTTATCTGTTAGATGGGATGATTCCTGCCTTGGCTTGTATCGTGGTTAGGATCAGGGGAGCCAATAAAACAGAACATACTCTGAGAGGAAGAATATACTCTTCAGCAGCAAGGAAGAACAGTGGGAAAAAATGGGGGATTGCAAACCTCTTTAGACTTCGATTTGGCAACTCAGATGTTTTAAAACTGTAATATTTTATCATTAGAGTCTATTGTGAGCCATAGGCTTTGAAATTTTACATGTAATTGGAACTTACACATCTGGAATCAGAGATAGTAAGTTCAGTATTTTCATATACTGATGTTTGCAATCAAATTATGGTTACATATTTTCATGTTGAAGTAAAAAATCCAATAAATGGACATACATTGCTTAAGGATATGAAACCTGTGATACAAAGGTAAAATAGTGAAACTTTTTGCAAAATGATCTTTAGAACTTTGATTTACTTGGTTCCTAACTGGACTCTAGTAGTCCGTGTAACACATGCCGTACTGAAGTCTAAAGACACACCCATAAAAATGCACACACACAAGAATTACTTATTTTGAACTTTGATGGACCTTTATGTAGCTAGAAGGAGGACACCATTGTGTCCTTTTTAGGATTTTTGTAAGTACTATTACATAGCTAGTTTTGAAACTTAAGTTTTAAAAGTAAAATAAAAAATTTTTGTTTATTTTTACAGGATTTGAAACAAAACTCACAAGGTTCTCTACCACAAAAAACTGTAATAACACTGAGTGCAGAGCCAAGGTAAATACATAATTTCTCATACACTTTGCTACTGTTCTGACTTGACTTTTTTGCTTTTCATGTTTCTTTTCCCTCGCCAGGATATACTTTGAGGCAGTATTTTGTTTAATAAATTTATTAATTTAAAAAATTTTTTTGAAGAAATGGATTTTTCTCCCATGACTGTCATGTTCAATGTTAATAGTTAACACAGTGTTTGATACATTAATTGCTGAATGAACAATTACAACTATTTTTTTACAGATATTTGGTATGGGATCATAAATATGATTTATGATTATGTTTTTTCTTAACCCTTTGTTAACTTATCTTTTCATTGATCCCCGATCCCATTTTTAAAATGAAGGAAGAAACTTAATTATGAAAAGTTCCTACTATAAATTGCTTACTAGATAACTGTCATTGTGCTGGCCAGACTGTCTCATTTTGGCATTGTGGATTTATGTTAAGGCAAATGGGAAGGGTGTTCAGTTGACCTGAAAATGGGGCGATTAATTGGTGGCTGCCTCTGATTTATAAAGAAATGTTTTGTGTTTTTATTGGTAATCATTTAACCAAGTCTTCTGTTTTAAATGACCAAATATCACTAGGTCAGTACCCACTATCCCCAGATACACACTATATTCTTATATAATATAACTTTTTGCTATCTAAATTGAGAAATTTAGTATGTACAAATTGTAGGATAAAAAAATAATTGTAAAGGATAATTCATGATTTTAGGTATTCTTTATTAGAATTATTTTAAAATAAATGGAATCAAAGTATTACAGAAAATTTACAATTGCTAATAAAATTGACATTTTGGTTACTCAGAAAATAAAGCCTTAGTTTGCTAAATCTCTTCAGGAAGTAGAGACTTAAAAATGTATACAGCTCATACCTTAGAACAAGAAGACAGGTATTTTTTAGTAACACTAAAGTATCACTAAAGTAATGGTAAAGAAATCCTACATTTCTTTCTTTTGGCCAGAAAAAGAAGGGATTCACTGGAAAAGACAGTTTAAGTCTCAACTTTGAAGTCCTGTTGCAGGCTTAACAGCTTTCAGGTTGCCAAGTCATAAGAGAGTAATGATACTCCCATTACAAAATGTTTTCTTTGTCTTAAAATATGTAATATTTTGATGTAGTTGAGGTTGTGTGGCTGTTCCTTAACTATTTTGCCCCTAATAAACTCTGGTATTAGGCATAATCCCCCTTTTTCTATTTTGGTAGGGGAAGATCTTTGTTTCTGCTGACTGTAAGAATGCCTTATGCTTGCTATAAATAATTTATGCCCCTTCCCCACCCCATTAGTCTTCCTCTGGGTGAATGGTAGGGTGGGTGGGATGGAGCCCTAATGGGTTACAAACCCTATGGCTTTTCTTCTTCCTCTATTGTCCTTGCTTTAGCCAGGAGTAAGTGGTATTTTAGCTCTACTTATGCTGGAGGAAGAAAGGAGATCCAGGTGTATTAACTAAGAAGAAATATATTTTGAGCTTTAATATTGAGGAGTTTTAATTATACATCAACGTAAATAGCATTTTTGGGACTATTAGTAAAATGATTGCTTTCTGATATTTCCTTTTAAACAGTTTGTATTTAAATAGTGTTCTTCATCTTAATATTACTCCTTCACAGTTCTTTTCTACCAAATGTCAGTGCTACTACTGTTTCTGTAGTTAGGTGAATTGGGAGTACTTAGGATTGTCAAGTTCTTATTTGTATCTTTATTATCTGTTTTGTACTTGAGGACCTCATGAATAGAACTACTTATACTTCTGGTTTTAAAATCTATATTTTACTTGTTAGCCACAAATAATCTGAGCTGATCTCTCAACAAAATCAGAGAAGAATGGAGGAATGACAGTGGCCTTTAAAATGGAAGAATTTCATAGTTTTATTTAGCAGATACTGAAAGTGATATCATTGCACTTCTCAGTCTTGAAGTTGAAAGTTTCAGGAGTATGGTCATGAGTCTTTCTCATGTTCTTCATGAGTCCCTATATAATGATCTAAGGCTTAGCATTATTTTGGCGATAAGAATAATTCTTGTTTGAGCAACAATTTATTAATCTAAATAAAACATGCATTCTCAGTGAGAGAGACATCCTCCTTAGGAGGGTAAAAATTGGTTCTTGGGGAGTTTGAAAAAAAGTATTTTTTTAAATATATAAAGCATAAAAATAGTACTCAATAGTACAATAACAGATATACTTTTAAGTGTATTAAAATGGTATGGGGGGATGATTAACAAAAAATGTCTAAAGAGTCTTTAAGGAGTTATGTGAAAAGTCTGAGAAATACTGATCTAACTCACACAATTTCATAGCTATTTTTTTTTTAAGTTTTTATTTATTTGACAGAGAGAGACACAGCAAGACAGGGAACACAAGCAGAGAGAGTGGGAGAGGGAGAAGCAGGCCTCCCGCTGAGCAGGGAGCCCGATGTGGGGCTCAATCCCAGGACCCTGGGATCACAACCCAAGCCAAAGGCGGACACTTAATGACTGAGCCAGCCAGGTGCCCCTAACTCACACAATTTCAATAATACATGTAAATGAATTTGATCATGCTGTTTGGCAACATTAGTTATAGCTATAACCTAACATAAGTTAGTTTGGGAGTCTTTAAAAAGGAGTGGCTAATCTGCTCATGGGGATGTGGTACATATCTGTGAGCCTGATTGAGTTCACAAGGTTGGGTAAGCTCTATAGTATATGCATTCATAGTCTTTATGTGGAAAGAAGGTATAATTGAGAGTTAAAAGTTAGGGCACCCTGAACAAGTCATAAATTTTCTAGCCTTAAATAATCCTTTAATGTACCGAGGTGTTTCTTTTCCTCCAAGGCCCAATTGTAAAAAAAAAAAACTGTAGTACAAAGATTTACAGGATTAGGGACGTGGAGGACATAGAGGATGGAAGGTAAACTCCTAGGACAGGCAGGGATTTCAGTCTCCTTTCAGTGTTTAGTACTTGAGGCAGGATGGAAGCAAATATCACCGCAGCCCAGGACGCCAAATCATGTGTTTTGACAACGTGTGAAGGAACTTTGTTTTTTAAATGTGGATAATTTGAAATGCCATGGAGTATACAACTAAAATCTGAAACTTCTGTAAATCTGAAAATTTAACTTTTCAAGTAGAAAACTTTTAGTTTGAGAGCAATTTATTCAAACCCATTACAAATTTACCATTAAGTGCTTTTAATGTTTAACAAGGCATTTATTGGTAAGGGATTTTTGGCCAGAAAAAAGAAGGGATTAACTTCAAATGAAACCACCAACCATGTGGAGACACAAAAGAAGTCCTTGTTTTTGGGGCTTGGGTGACTTTAGAGTATCAAACAGATATTAAAAGTACTCAGTTCCAGAAAAGGCACTCAGTACCTCCATTGTCATGTGCTTGTTGTAATGGTTCTTCCTGGATGGCTGCCCAGCACCTCTAATTTAATTTCCTCTTGTTTTCTCCACGTGTGCTTTCTTTTTGGATCCTAATCTTTATTAATAGCATCATTCTCTTTTTGGTTGTCTAGGTGCTGAAAAATAGTCTTTATATGGAAAGCAGGTACAATTAAGAGTTAAGAGTTAGGACACCCTGAACAAGTCATAAATTTTCTAGCCTCTAGAACCCACTTTGACTTCTACCTTTTCTTGTTCTTTTAAGTTTCATCAGCTGGAAAGTGTTTTGGATTTTCCCCTCTGCTCATCTCTGACATTCTTCGTCTCCTGTCTTCCTATTACTTTCTGGTTTTAAGGCCTCTATTATGATTTTTTTTTTAAATGTTTTACTTGAACTACTGCAATGACTTCCTGCTCTTCTGTCTTCAGTTTCTCTCTGCCCCTAATTTATTGCATGTAGTTGTCACAGGAATCTACCCATAGCGGAACGCAAGAAAGACACCTGGGTGGAAGCAGCAAGGCTTCTAGGACCTAGCCTCAGAACTCCTAGAAGGTCCTTTCCACTACATTCTTAGTGAAGCAAGTCACTAGCGTCAGCCAAGATTCAGGGGGAGGGAATTATTCTCCATGACTTGAAGGGAATGATGGCAGTCATCTTTGGAGACGGTCTACCACAGTTTATCCACTGGCCACTACAATTCACATACAATTCACCATGTGCACAATATTCCACCTCCTCCCATGATGCCAAAGTGCCATCCCATTATGGTACTGGCCTCAAATTTTCATCTAAATCAGATCCAAAATGACTCAATCATGTAACTGGGAATTGATGTTTTCTTATTTCTCTCAGTATAATAATTATTTGAAGTTAATTCTGCTAGACTGTAAACTCCTTGACAGTAGGAACTATTTCTTTTATTTATTTCTCCCACCATGCCTGTGGAATTGCAGTCAACATAGTAAGAATTGAATAAAGACTTGTTGAAATACAATTAATTACTGATTGAAGAGACTATTAAACTTCAGACACCAGATATGCGTAGACATTCTACGTGAAGATGTGGTATCCTGGTATATCTTCTCTCCAAATAGTTCTTTCATCTAGTATTTGGAGTTTGGATGCCAGAGGGCTTCTGAATACACTAAATAATACTACAAGCAAAAATAAATAACAACTCAAAGCTTTGAATTTGCTCAACATTTGGATAACTGTTCATTGGAGATTATAGAGTTTCATACCATGGGACCTGAAAAATTTTAGGTTGCCTCTCAGCATCATTGCATTCTTACAGAATTACCTTTGTTGAGATTGCTTTCTTGAAGGCTCTTTAGAATGGGTGGGTTCAAAAGATACTCCCAAATATCTAAATGAGTTGACTTGATCAGATGACTTTTTTTCTTTTTTAGATTTTATTTAAATTGAAGTTAGTTAACATACAGTTTATTATTAGTTTCAGAGGTAGTATTTAGTGATTGATCAGTTGCCTATAACACCCAATGCTCATTACATCAAGTGCCCTCTTTAATGCCCATCACACAGTTACCCCATCCCCCCCACGTCCCCTCCAGCAACCCTCAGTTTGTTCCCGGTAGTTAAGCATCTCTTGTGACTTGCCTC